TTTATAATTCTCCCTATATGATCTTTGACCTCCTTGGTTAAATATATTCCAAGATATTTCATTTTTTTATGCTACTGTGAATGGTAGTGTATCTTTGATTTTATTCTCAGCTGGACTCTTGTTGGTATAATGCAAGCTACAGATTTTTGTGTATTGATTTTGTAACCAGGGACTTTGCTGAATTTCTTTATCAATTTCAGGAGTCCCTTAGTTGAATTTTGGGGCTTTTATAGATATAAAATCATACCATGGGCAAAGAGCTAAAGTTTGACCTCTTCTATCTCCATTTGGCAATGCTCAATTTCCCTCTCTTGTCTTACTGTTTTAACTAGGAATTCCAGCACCATTTTAAATAGAAACGGTGAAAGTGATCATCTTGTATGGTTCCAATTCTTTTTTTTAATTGAATCATAGCTGTTTGCATTAATGCAATCATGGGGTACAGTGTGGTGTTTTCATATACAATTTGAAATATTTTCATCAAAATGGTTAACATAGTCTTCATGTCATTTTCTTAGTTATTGTGTTAAGATGTTTATATTCTAGTTTTAGAAAGATTCACTTGTACCCTTGTAAGATAAACCATAGAGATGATCCCTCCAATCACCCTCCCTCCACCCATTCACCCCCCTCCCCTCCTCCTCCTCCCCCTCCCCATATTCTTAGGCTATAATTAGGTTTAAGCTTTCATATGAAAGCTATAAATTAGTTTCATAACAGGGCTGTGTACATTGGATATTTTTCTTCCATTCTTGAGATACTTTGCTAAGAAGAACATTTTCCAGTTCCATCCACATAAACATGAAGGAGGTAAAGTCTCCATCTTTCTTTATGGCTGCATAATATTCCATGATGTACATATACCACAATTTATTGATCCATTTGTGGATCGATGGGCATTTGGGCTTCTTCCATGACCTAGCAATTATGAATTGGGCTGCAATAAACATTCTGATACAAATATCTTTGTTGTAATGTGATTTTTGGTCTTCTGGATATAAAGCTCCACTGTCATACTTTAAAGATCTTGAAAAAATAATACTTTATTTTATATATATATATATATTTATTTATGTATTTATTTTGAGACAGGAGCCTCAAGCTGTCCCCCTGGGTAGAGTGCCATGGCATCTCAGCTCACAGCAACCTCCAACTCCTGGGCTCAAGCAAGTCTCCTGCCTCAGCCTCCCAAGTAGCTGGGATCACAGGTGCCTGCCATAACGCCTGGCTATTTTTTGGTGCAGCCATCATTGTTGTTTGGTGGGCCCGGGCTGGATTCGAACCCACCACCTTGGGTGTACGTGGCTGGAGCCTTAGCCACTTGAGCCACAGGTGCCAAGCCAATACTTCATTTTATATGGAATCAGAAAAAATCTCGAATAGTCAAGACTTTACTCAGAAATAAAAACAAAGCAGGAGGAATCACACTACCAGACCTCAGGTTCCAATTCTAAGAGCAAATGATTTCAATTTTTGTCAATTCAGTAGGCTCATGGCTGTGCATTTGTCATACATGTAGATGCCTTTTGATGTATGTCTCCTCTATACCTGTTTTCTTAAGTGTTTTGTTATCAGAAAAAGGTGCTGGATTTTGACAAATGCTTTTTCTGTATTGATTGAAAGGATTGTATGGTTTTTGTCTTTGCATCTGTTTAGGTGGTGAATTGATTTTATAGATTTGTGTATGTAGAACCAACCTTTCATCTCTAGGGTGAAGCCTACTTGACTATGATGGATAATGTTTTGATGTGCAACTTGATTTGGTTTGCTAAGATTTTATTGAGAATTTTTGCATCTGAATTCATAAGAGGTATTGGTCTGTAGTTTTCTTTTTTTTGTTGTGTCTTTTCCTGGCTTTGGTATCAAGATAATATTTCCTTTGTAGAGTGAGTTGGGGAGGGTCCCTTCCTTCTCAATGTTAAGGAATAATTTCTGCAATATAGGTACAAGTTCTCCTTTGCAGGTTTGCCAGAATTCAGGTGTAAAAACCATCTGGTCTGGGGCTTTTTTTTGTTGGAAGATTTTTTATTGTTGCCTCAGTTCTGTTGCTTGTTATTGGTCTATTCAGAAGTTCTATTTACTTCTTCTGATTGAGTCTAGGGAGGTGGTGTGAATCCCAAAATTTGTTCCTTTCCTTCTCATTTACATCTTTGAGAATATAGAGATTTTTATAGTATTCAATGATGATGTTTTGTATTTCTGTGGTATTGGTTTGTTTTTTTTTTTTCATCTGCTGGGTTTGTGATAGGTTTGCTATTCCTTTTATAGTTCCTTGACATGATTCATTAAACTGATGTTTTGTGATCTTTCTGTCTTTTGGATGTGGGCATTAAGACTATGAATTTTCCTTTCTGGGCTGCTTTTGCAGTATCACACAGATTTGATCACTTATACCCTCAGTACCATTTACTTTGAAGAACTTTTTCTATTAAATCATAAACACATAGATCATGTATACATTAACGTATTTATGGGGTACAATGTACTGATTTCGTATAGAATTAGGAGTGCTTACAATTTCCATCGTTATCTCCTCTTTGGCCCAAGTATCAAAGGAAGAAAGTCATTTTATCATAAAGACACTTGCACTGGAATGTTTATAACAGCACAATTCACAATTGCAAACATGTGGAAACAACTCAAGTGCCCACCAATGCATGGATGGATTAGTAAAATGTGGTATATGTACACCATGGAATAGTACTCATCCATAAAAAAATGATGACCTAGTATCTTTTATAATAACCTTGTTGGAAATGGAGACCATTTTCCTAAGTGAAGTATCACAAGAATGGAAAAACAAATGCCATATGTACTCAATAGTAAATTGGAACTAGTTGTGTGAACAGTTATGTGCCATATGGGAGAGGAAGAGGAAGAGGGGATGGGTAGATTCACACCTAATGGGTACACTACACACTTTCTGGGTGAATGGCACATTTATAACTTTGGCTTAAAATATGAACAAAAAACTGTGTAAGCAAAATATGTATACCCCCATAATGTTGGAAAATTCAAAAAAAAATTATGAGATTCCACTTCACACTCATTAGGAAGGCTATTAGCAAAAGGTCAAAAGATAGAAAAAGTTGCTGACAGTGTGGGGACAAAAGGGGAACCGTTTTATACTTTTGGTGGGACTGTATTATAGATTGGGGTTCCCATTATATTCATAGAAAACAGTAAGGAAGTTTCTTTAAAAATTAAAAATAGAAATCAAAGACCAAGGAGTTCCTCTTCTGGACATATGGTCAAAGGAAATAAACTAATCATCTTGTAAAAAAATAAATAAATAAAATTACATTTCTCAGATACATTAAATCAGGGACTTGAACAAATATTCATAGATCCATATTTGCAAAGACATTATTCACAATAACCAAACAGAGGGAAAAACTCAAATATCAAATTGATCCAGCTTTCCTGTCACATAGTTTCCACTCTTCCCAACTCAATATCCACATAGGGTCATACCCAACCAAGAAAGGTCCAATGCAAGCTCCACATGACAGTTCTGTGGTGAATCTGTTTTACATACCCATTGGGGAGGTGCCTCAGTGACTGACAATGGGCCTGGTCAATAAACAGACATTCCTGGGCCTGCCTGTAAACACCTGGCATAGGGAGCCACAGCTTCCAGCCCAAGCCCATAGCCCTGCACTCTTCCTGCCTGTGAGGACCCTCTTCTGGGCCCACACAGAGGTGAAAATCTCACCTTAGTAACCCCTGCGTGGTCCCAGAAACTACTGGACACTCAGTTTTTGTCTGTGGACTTTCTTATGCTTTCATATTTCAGAAATTTTTCATTTAACTTTTTCTGTATGAAGCCATGGCTACAAGTTTCAGAAATCCTATAAGCCCCATTATTCAATGTTAAGAACAGATGGGGGTCCTTGAGTGGGTGTACTGATCCTCCCCCTTGACCATGGAGCCAGATGCCAGGATCCTCTTCAGCCCCAACCCCTTCTGTCTTAACTTGGTCTGTAAATAACTATGAATGGGCCCCTCCCATCTTCCAGTCACCACTGACGCCTATATCCATTACAAGGTGTGGGGTTTATAGCAATGGGCTCCAAAGACTGAGGCTCAGAGATGGGACTTTAATGCCCAAAGTCACACATTATACTGTTCATGACTGAAATAGACATCAATTCCCCACCCAATACCCTCAATCAGATATTCAAATAAGCAATTGTCCCACAAAAGCCTTAGACACAGATTGAGATGCAGAGGGAGGCACACGGGAACAGTGGGCCCTAAACACACAGAAGAGACTCAGACTCTTGTCCACAGGGAGGTGGAGCTTGAAGCTGTTGCAAAATGAAACAGGAAGTAGAAGAACACAACTACTGGCTACCAAGAAAACCCATCTTCCAGGGAAAGGAAAGGGTCATATTTTCTTCTCTTATTCCCTGTTGTCCCCTTTGTGCACTTGGCCACGTAGCAGCTCACTGTGAGCTGCATTGTTACATGTTCATGAGTCTCTGCCAGTCTGTCAGCTGAGGACATGAATCTGCCCCTTCCATGAAGCATCTCCAGGGCTGGTAAGATGACTGATCCTGGTGAGGACTCCACCACATGGTGCTGTTGGATGGGCTGAAGGAGGTAGGAGACCCAGAGAGGCTGTGAAGGGGCAGAGGCCCTGCTCACCTGCACCTATGAGGGACTGATACAAAAGCCACAAGGTCCATTTGCTGCTGTGTCCTGGCCCTCAGTGAGATGAGGACAGATGAAGCAGATGGTGTCTGTGGATCAGGGAGACTCTATTTCTGTCTGAGGTGTCTACAGAGAGCCTGGTACTCACCCCAGCCCTCGCCCCGAGGAAATGAGAACCAGGTTCCCGGGAAGGGTACAGTTTTTCTTCCTGTGGAGGTTCAGATGTGACAGCCCCATGTTAGGAAGTCCCAGCCTACAAGTAGCCACACCCTGTGTGTCTGTGTGTCTTGAAGGCACCGTGGTCTCCTCCATCTGCACAGCTGGGACAAGTGGTGGGAGACCCCATGACCTCCACCCTCACAGCCCTGCTCTGCTTTGGTGAGATGTGAGGACAGCCAAGGGAAACCCTGGTCTGGGAGAGGAGACCCACCCCATAGCCAGGCTCTGCTCTATCAGGAGGCCCCAGGGGCTCAGGAAGCTCCTGGGAAGGAGAGGGCATCCTCAGCCTTTAGGGGATAAATCTCTCACAGAGAACTCTCTTCCAGGGCTGAGTCTGAGCCTCAGGACCCATGTGCAAGCAGGTGAGTCTGTCCCCAGCTCTCCCAGGTCCCTTCTCCTCACTAAGGACAAGGAGACACCCCTGGGCAGCTGAGGATGGGGAACAGCAGCCCTGGGATGACTGAGGGGAACATCTGGAGGGTCCTGGGCTGAAATCTGGGATCTGAGGGGTGGGAAGTGTCTTGGGACCCAGCCTCTGATTTCTTAACAGAAACTCTCTCCAAACCCATCATCTGGGCTGAACCAGACTCTTTGATAACCCGAGGGAGCCCTGTGACCATCTGGTGTCAGGGAACACTGGATGCCCAGGAATACCTACTGCGTGCACAGGGAATGTTCTGGGACAAACAGAAACCACTGGATCCTGGGAACAAGGCCATGTTCAACATTAAATATATGACAGAGCACTATGTGAGGGGATACAGCTGTAACTATCACACCCCTGCTGGATGGTCAGACTACAGTGACATACTGGAGCTGGTGGTGGCAGGTGAGAGGACACCTGGGGGTCTCAGCCCTAAGCTCTGCCCTCAGGAAGGAGGCCTGCTGTCAGGGGTGATGTGCGAGGTGAGAGCCTATTTAACACTGCTGCCTCCTTCTGTCCTAGGAGTCTTCAGCAAACCCACCCTCTCAGCCCTGCCAAGCCCTGTGGTGACCTCAGGGGAGAATGTGACCCTTCAGTGTGGGTCTGAGGGACTTAGCAAGTTTACTTTGATTAAGGAAGGAGAACCAAAGCTCTCCTGGACACGGGAATCACAGTCTCTCTCCAATGGGCAGTTTCAGGCCCTGTTCCCTGTGGGCCCTGTGATTCCTGGGCACAGGTGGACGTTCAGATGCTATGGCTATTACAGAAACTTACCCCATGTATGGTCAGAGCCCAGTGACCCCCTGGAGCTCCTGATCTCAGGTGAGAAGGTTTCATCCCACACTGTTCATGGTTTGAGACTCGAAATATGTCACTGTGAGCCTTGCTTTCCGGAATCCCAAGATGGCAGTGTAGGGTAAGGGACCAAGGGCTCTGGAGCCAGAGACCCTGAGAGTGAGACCCAGTGAGACCTGCAGGGCCAGTACAGGACACTGAGGAGTTGGCAGGAACCAGCCCCTGCAGCTCACAGCCTGTCCTTCCCCCAGGGGTGTCTGGGAAGCCCTCCTTCCTCACCCCTCAGGGCCCTGTCCTGGCCCCTGGACAGAACCTGACCCTCCAGTGTCGGTCTGATGTCAGCTACAACAGATTCGTACTGACCCAGGATGAGGGACGTATCCTCACCCAGAGCCCTGACTGGCAGCCCCAGGCTTATTAATGTCAAGACTTCCTACTTTAACATTTAAAAATGGAGGTTTATCAGTGAATTTAAGAAGTATTTTTGAAATTTTACTCATAAAATTGTGTGCATTTATTCAAATGTAAATAATTATTCAACTACTTTAATCATATATGAAAGAAGTTTTGGTTCCTTTATATTTTCAAAAGAAGAGTTATATATAAATAAGAAAGCTATTGATTTGGCTATATTCATTTTATTTCACATTAACTTACTACAGAATTTGTTTTTCAACTTAGTTCTTTTCTAATTTATTGATAAAATTTATATAAACCAAAAGAAAATAGAAACATCTCTTCATTATTTCTTAGTGCCATGCCAATATTTCTCACTTCAAATAATAATAAGTAAACATATTTATGTAAGATTAAATAATTACATGTGAATATATGTATACACATATCTCCAAGTACATACATTCATGTTCATCCATATGCTCAATGTTTTTGATGTGGTCTGTTTTGATCTTCCCACTTAGATTAATCCTTCATTAAAGCAGAATTATTAGTTGACAAGCCTGTGTGATATCAGCACTACTCAGAAAAAACATACACATATTGGTGCGTGTGTATCGCAGTCCAGTTATCCAAACATTGTGAAGAACTTGACCAAAGATAGAAGAGATGATGAGACCCCAGGTCACCTGGCTCAGGTGGGGAGAAGTGGAGGCAGTCCCAGATTCTCACCCTTTGTGCCTCTGACATTCAGGTGGGGCTGAACTTGAGACCAACCCCTCATCTGTGGAGTCTGGGTCCTCAGCTACTGATAGAAAAGTCTATCTCTGGGGAGATTACCTGTTTAAGCTGGGCCCCAGACAGAGTAGAAAGCATACAGGGCTCAGTCATTTCTGTACTTGGGGCCACTTCCCTTGCTGATCCTGAGTTCATAGGTAAAATTCTGAGGTTGATCAAAAGCAAAATTTGAATTCAGGGAACACAGGGAGGCTAAAATAACTCAATGAGGAGACTAGAGGAACCTGCTACAGCAAAGTGGATTTAATGAAAAACTGCTAAAAGTCATGTCAAGAGTCATATCATGAGACATGAGGGGACACAGAATGCAGAGCCCAGAGGACAGGCCAGGCTTAGGGCTCTTCATTCCCTTCCCCTCTCCTCTGTTTTGATTCTCAGGAGCACCTGATACCACCAGCCCCTCACAGAACAAGTCAGACTCTGAAACTGGTGAGTGAGGAGACACTCTTGGTCATGGGCTGGGCACATAGGGTCAGGCCCTGTGCAGGGCAGGATGGTGTCCGGGGGGAACATCCAGGGACCCTGATGACTTTGTTCTGCTCTAAGACCACTGATCTCTTGTCCACAATCCCCAGCCCCATGCCCCCGGGATCACACCATGGAGAATCTCATCCGCATGGGCATCGCTGGCTTGATCTTGGTGGCCCTGGGAATTCTGCTGTTTCATAAGTGGCATGGTCAGAGAAGCTCCCAAGACGTCACCAGGAGGTAACTCCAGAGACAGTCAAGCACCATCCAGAGTGGGAGAGCCTTGGAAGTAACTCTGATACTCCCAGGAAGTTCCGAAATAAAATCTAGGGCATGTGCTATCAGGACTGTCTGCTGGTCATTTCCAGAGGGAGGGATCAATGTTCAAGTACAAGGACACTGTGTGGAGTGTGTCCAAATAGGACATTAAACTCTGATAGTTTTCATCTCCACCAATGTTGACTTCCCTTACTGGAACTCCTCCTTTCCTCACCCCTCACCCCCCAGGCATGAAACTGTGTCCCACGTGGTACCTCTAGGTCCACAATTCTGCCCACCTGCACACTCTGGTCAACTGCTATGTGGCAGAGTTTTTTCTTTCTAACTGTCCCCTTCCCTGATGCATTTCATCAGTCTCTATCACTTCACTTCAGAGTTCCAAACTTTGTTCCATAACTAAATAAAGGGGAGATCAGACTCCCACCAGGAAATTGTGTAAATCAAAAATGATGCCCTGACACCCCATCTGAACCCTTCAAGCTCCTCACCCTTTATGAAATGCTCTCTAGTTTCCCCAGAGACATCCCCACTTGGTATCACCACACTGATTACTGTTATTCTACTCTCCAACTCCATGAATTACGCCCAGCTGGACTGGACATTTATTTTGACAACTTTGGCCGTGACATCAGTGATAAAGTGATAAGTCAGATGAATCAGAACAGCCACATTAGCCTATGTGGTCAAATTTCTCAGTACAACAAAGACGTGCCCTATTCTCTGCCCCTGCCCCTTGCAATAGAGTCAATTCAGAAAAAAAGAAATCTCACAAGAGAAAGATTTCTGGTGTTAAATTATAAGGACAAATTTGAGCTGGCATTTTACAGCTGAATCAATAGTTTAAAGTAGGAAAATTAAATATCAAAGAGACTGTGATAAAAGGATTGGAAAACATGAGAGCTGCATTCCAATCCAGATGACAGGAGGTAACATTGGAAAGCAGATCATTTGTATTTCAGAAGAAATCTCTGTAGTTTCTGTAAATGTCTTCATCAAGAAAATCACAGATTTCTTTCCATTTTGCAAAAAGATGTTTTTGATAGCATTTCCTGAATTTACGTATTTATTTATTTGTTTATTTTTTAATGTTGGGGATTCATTGAGGGTACACAGAAGCAGATTACATTGATTTGCTTTTGTTAGATAAGGACCCTCTTACGTTTGTGTCCCACCCCCAAAAGGTGAACCCTATCTCTTGACCCCCAATGCCATTCCTCCTTCCCTTTCTCAGCTTTCCCCCTCCCCCACCCCCCACTGTGTACTAACTGGACCTTAATTGTCCTCATATCAGAATTGAATACATAGGATTCTTATTTCTCCATTCTTGTGATGCTTTACTAGGAATAATGTGTTCCACATCCATCCAGGTTAATGCAAAGGATGTGAAGTCTCCATCTTTTTAGTGGCTGAGTAGTGTTCCATGATATACAAATACCACAGCTTGTTAATCCATTCTTGAGTTGGTGGGCATTTAGGCTGTTTCCACATTTTGGCAATTGTAAATTGAGCTGCAATAAATAGTCTAGTACAAGTGTCCTTGTGATAAAAGGACTTTTTTGTTCTGGTAGATACCCAGCAGTGAAATTGCAAGTGGGAGGTCTAGCTTGAGTTCTTTGAGAGTTCTCCATACTGCCTTCCAAAAAGATTGTATTAGTTTGCATTCTCACCAGCAGTGTGAAAGTGTTCCCTTCTCTCCACATCCATGCCAGCATCTGCAATTTTGAGACTTTGCGATGTGGGCCATTCTACTGGGATTAGATGATATCTCAGGGTGGTTTTGATATGCAGTTCCCTAATTATTAGAGATGATGAGCATTTCTTCATATGTTTATAAGCCATTCGTCTGTCTTCTTTAGAGAAGTTCTATTCATCTCTCTTGCCCAGTGATCTAAGTAAGGTATTGTTGGCTTTTTTTATGTTTCTTATTTTGAGTTCTCTGAGGATCCTAACTATCAAGCTTTTGTCTGAACCAAAATATGCCAATATCCTTTCCCAATGTGTAGGTTGTCTGTTTGCTTTGGTTGTAGCCCCATTAGCTTTACAGAAGCTTTGCAGTTTCATTATGTCCCATTTGTTTCTTTTTGCTGTTGTTGCGATTGCCATTGGCGTCTTCCTCATAAA